CACATGTAGGCCAGACCAGGTAAGGATAGCAGCTTCCTTCCCTAAAAGGACATGGGAAAATCCATTTGGTTTGCCAAACAATGAAATAAGGTTCTTAATTTCATTTTTGTTTTTAAAATTGAATTCAAATTCCACCATCTGTCACGGCATGATTCAAATCTGGTCACAACCAGGGTCTTGGAATCAACAGTCCAGCGATAGTACCACTAGACTGTCACCTCATTTTTGGTTTCAGCAGGTTATGGACCACCAGAAATAAAATTGGAACCTTAGTCTGGCTACATGTCCAAAATCTTTCAGAATATGTTATGTTATTTGGGTACAAAAAAATTGAACTCCACCATACATTATCCAGAAAAAAAAAAAGTGCTTTAGTCTGATATCACACAGAGTCTCAAGATAACGATTAAGGCACACTGTCAGGAATGCCTGCAGGACTGGGATTAGACATTAGTTTTTTTATGATTTGCTGCTAGACATTGCCTGAAAAGAGAGTCTACTGGGTTTAATTTATTTGAAGTCATCCAAGGCCATGAGTTAAGAGGTCCATTGAAACTGATCACAGGAGGGTTTTAAAGACAAAAATAACAGTCCCTCAATGTTGGATTGTATTTCCATACTTCTAAAGAGACTCACAGGAGCATGCAAAGTAGTGCAAGAGAATTTAAAAATCTCAGACAAAGATGAAAGAATGGGCAGACAAACATGGTGCAACTTGAATATCTCAAGCAGGAGACAAAGTGTTATTACCGTAACAAGTTGAATTTCAAAGAGTAGTTCAATGGTCCACACAAGATTACTAGGAGGGTTGGTAAAGTGGCTAATCTGGTAGATAGCCTTTTCCTTTAATCTGAGAATTGGTTGCGTTATGCTGTCAGAACCCTGAGGGAAACAGTGTACTGGAAACCAAGCCTCACTATCCCACAAGTTGTCACAAATGTGAAGACGACCAATTTAATCATAAGGATAGTTAATTTGCTTGACTGTGATCAACATCAGAGGTGAAACAAAACAAAAATTGACCTACTATAACAAACTTATTCTTGAATAAGGAGGAAAATGGATTATCAATTGCTAAACATGCAGATTTAAATTACACCCCCTTTATTCAAAAATGTACCTATTCAGTCACAAAACAGACAGGTAAGACAGTTTTGCAGAAATATTAAGGTAGAAAATATAAGCAAAAAAAGACAAATTCTGTGCATCAAGAGTCCAATCCAACGAAGAGACTTTCTCAGTTCTTTTGGTGTCGATTCCTGTTATCAAGCACAGCAATCCTTAATGTGGTGGCTAGTCAGTTTTCAGTAAGAACTTATTTCCAAAGTCTTTCAGTGCTAGCTTTCTTCCCCTCAGAAGCACATCTGGCTTAGCTTACAGGCATCTGGAGATACAAGTTAGTGCTCCGGTCTCGGTTCTGTGACAAACTGCTGCTTCTCATCATTCCAGAAGTTGTTGCTATGCAGTTTTTAAAATTTTCAACCCAAGAGGCATCTAGGTCTCAAAAATATCAAATCCAGCTTCTCCAAAAGTTACATGCCCTTGTTCATTTATTGCTTACACAAGTGTTCCACTTTTACTTAACAGTTGCCAAAAAACCCTCATCAACACAACAGTCCAAAGTTCCATTTCCCAGTTTATCTTTCAAACAGAATATGCAACTCTGAGTAACAATGTTCTTGCACAGAATTCCAAAGATTTGAAACTGGATGATGAAATTTTCCCTCACCTCAATCAAACGTTAGTCCCGATCCAGTTGGTGGTCCCCAATTCTGGAGTGCAAAGACAGGGGAAGCAATTTCTTGCCCCCTACCCCAGTCAAGCCCATTTAAAAATATCATATAATAAAATCATAGAATCCATACAGTGCAGATAGAGGGCATTCAGCCCATCAAGTCTGCGTCAACTCCAAGAGTATCCCACTCCATCCCCATGATCCCGCATTTACCTTGGCTAACCCACCAAGCCTGCCCATTCATGAACACTACAGGACAATTTAATATGGACCTACTTTACACAGCCTTTGGACTGGAGGAGGAAACTGGAGCACCTAGTGGAACCCATGCACACACGGGGAGAATGTGCAAACTCCACGCAGTCGCCAGACGCTGGAATCAAACCTGGGCTGCTGGTGCTGGGAGGCAGCAGTGCTAAACACTAAGCCACCAAGCCTGTGCTACTTCCAGTTATTAAAACAGAATTGTATCAATTCTTAGTTATTTTCTTCCCAACTTGTTCTTATTTTGATGATGGAAAGACAGAGACACAAATTGAAGATTTGAGCAAGAGGCCATGGTAGATTTGGGGCAAGAATGTGAGAAAGATTCTTTTCTTTTCAAAACACACTAAAAACAAGCATTCATAATGTGGAACTCCATGCTTACGAGAGTCACATAAGTAGACAGGATCAATTACTTCAGAAGGAAACTGGATGTATGCTTGAAGGAATGCTTGGGAGAGAGCTGGCATGAACTCAATATGCTATAATGAGCATGTGCTGAAGTTCATTAACAGCCTTGCCCATCAATATTTCATGTAACCTTCTCCAGCCACTGTAACCTTCCAACTCTGAACTTACTGTTGCTCTTGACTGTTCCTTTAAACACAATTCTAAATTCATCCCACTTTGGCAGCTCTTTGCCCATCTAAATCTCATGGTCAAGAACTCCCCTCTCTCCTCACCCATAACACTCTCCTTGAAATATGCACCAACCAAGCTTCTGGTCATCATCTCAATAACACCACTAACGTGACACACATGCAGGTGGCTGTTGTTGCTGCTTCAGTGGACATATTGCTCCCAAACAAAAATACAACAATACAAACAGATCGGTCATCCCAACTAGTTCCTTTCACAGAAGTAGTAATCATCAGACACCATTTCTTACTCCATAATCCTTTGGCACTGAGGTGCTTCCTGCTTCAATTATAATTCTTAATGTACAATATTCTACAGGTCACAATAGTAAGAAGAAAGGGATAGCAAGAACTGTCGATGCTGGAGTCAGATAACAGAAAATCTGAAGAAGGGTCCCGACCTGAAACGTCAGCTTTCCTGCTCCTGATGCTGCCCAGCCTGCTGTGTTCCTCCAGCTCCACACTATAATATGTAGAAAGGAGTTTTCCTGCTCTCTCCTCTCTCTCCTAAGTCATCTCATATTTCAATTATGTCCCTCCTTCTAGGGCTCTTAGAAATTGTACTTCTCTACACTGTCACATCAAAACACATCTATCAGATCAACCTGTAATCTTACCAAGATCAATAATTAATGTCTTTGCTGTATTTCCTCATACCAGAAAGCATTCCAGTGAATCAACACTTCATCCTTTTCATTCCTTCCTACACTTGGACCCCAAAACTGCACAAAGTACTCCAATTATGATTTTATTAACACTTATAAATTTATCATTCCGTTGACTTTTTAATATTTGCATCCCCAACTTAAAACCTGGTTAATCTTTTTTTAGAAAAAAAAAGAGATTATTACCTAATTAAAAAGCTAGCTTGTGCAGATCAATAACACCCTTGCCCAAGCAAGAAACTCATGTTCAAATCCCACTCCAGGACCTGATGGCAAAGAAAGGCGCCTTCTTCCAAAATACAATAGTGGAAGGCAAAAATCAGAGAAGATGCAGGAATGCAAAGTGGAACAAAACCCACAAAACAGATTTAAATATTTACTTCCAAGACTTTAGATAATTTTTGAAACATTTAGATGTCGATAGCTAATTAATTATTCCGGAAGTTAAAGTTGCAAAAAGTAATCATCATCGAATTTCTATAGCAGGAAATCTATGATCACTTATTTACAAAGATGATAATGTTTAAAAATGTTTATTTAATGCAAGAATAAACAGTTATAAAGTCTAAAGTCAGTCCCTTTACAGAGACATCAACAGTCAGTTCCATACCCAAACCTCATCTTCCCTTGTGTCCACTAAGTCAAGTCACTGAGGCAGCTGTAAAGTGAGAGAGACCAGGAGACAACAGAATTTAAACTGGCACGAGAGGTATAAATTTTTCCTGAAGAAGGGTCCAGACCCAAAACGTCAGCTTTCCTGCTCCTCTGATGCTGCTTAGCCTGCTGTGTTCATCCAGCTCTACACCTTGTTATCTCACTGATCCTGTCACTTTAGTGCATAATCTGTTCTGGCTCTTCGAAAAAAAGCGATTCAATTAGTTCCTCCTCCTGCTCTTTTATCCTACAAATTCTTTTAAGTATATATATATGCAGGTAGTGTTTGAAAATTATCACTAAAATCAATAGTGGCCTTAACAGAATACCTGCAGGTGCCTAACACAGACACACACAAACATTGCTTTTACATTTTCTGCTCGGATTTATGAAGCCCCAGAACTTGTCTGTTCATTTAAAAGCCTTGTTCACTTGCTCTGTCACCTTCAAAAGGTTGGTGCATGTAAACCAATTTTAATTCCTATAGTTATGCTACAATCCAGTTGACAAGAACTCTCCTCATTTTCATTTAACTCAAAACCATCCTTCAAACCCAAATGATGACAGGTTACAATTTATGCATTATTTCAAAACAACGGACATGTCGAATTTTAACAGAAGGAGTAGTTACAGAAAAGAAATTCACATAACTGGAGAGATTCAGGGGCAATAATCTCCATGCACCAATACAGTCAAACAATTCCTCAGCATTATGTTTAAGAATCAATTGTTAGGTGTTAAAATAAATATATCAGTTGCCATAATTTCTCTTGCATTGCTACTTACGGGTCAATGCTCCTAGTTGCAAAATTAAAAGCAAGAAGTGTTCGCTTTTACTGATGCCTGGGATTAGTTAACAAATCAGGTGAAAATTTATCTTGATAATAATCATGCTAATTTATTTCATAAAACAATGTTTTCAATTTACATGGCAATTATTTTCCATTTCCAAGTATCAAAACACATTGAAACCCGTTTTAGTTAAGAATTGACCAATTAAAGCATTGTAATATTTCAAATCAATCAAGAAGAAACATTACTTACTGATTCATCCAAAGCATAACGTAGACAGCCATGTTCATATAACACAAAGAATCTGCGCTGCCATTTCTAGATGTTGGGGCAGAGGAGAAAAGGAAAGTTATGAACTGCAACAGTTTGGTTCAAACTTTGTGAATTATTTTGATATGAAACTATTTTCTGTATATTTAAAAATAAAAGAAAGTTTATTACTTCAGTTTAAAGTCATGTTGAATAGATGTACCTCACTAAGGTGTTTTCCCGTAAAGGAAGTAAGAATTCCCATTAAGGGGAGGTAATGGCTTAGTGGTATTATCAGTAGACTATTGATCCAGAGACCCTTGTAATGTTCTGGGGACCCAGGTTCAAATCCTGCCATGGCAGGAACTGAATTCAGTTAAAAAAATGAAATTAGGAATTAGATGGTGATGATTAAACTGTTTGTCAGAAAAACCCATCCGAGTCCCCATTAGGGAAGGAAACTGCTGTCCTTACCTGGTCTGGCTTACGTGTGACTCCAGACCCACTGCAATGTATGGTTGACACTTATCCCAAATGCCCAGAGGGCAGATAAGTAATAAATGCTGGCCTGGCCAGTGACACCCATATCCTGTGAACGAATAAATTAAGTCATGTATTTTAATGCCAGTTGCTTTTCCAAGTCCCTTGACTGGTGCTAAAGACCCCTGACAAGAAGATAAATATTCTGTAGAAGCAGAAAACCTTACTCAAAGAAGAAAAAAAATCAGCCTGAGACAAGATAACAGCTTTTACTGGATTCAGGTGAATTTTCATTACAGCTACCTGCATTTTTGACTTAAAGTATTTTTTCCAAGTTTATGTGGAGAACTACAACCTCTAGTTTTACAGTATCATAATATACATTAATATGAGCAGCTTCTCAGATTTTACTTCCAGGAAAATTCTGGTTTTAAAGTCAGATTCAATTGTGAAGTACAGTATCAAATTTTCTCTCATTCCTAGGTGGTACAAATAATAGTTTAAGAACAATCTAAAACTTGCACATAAAAAAAATTTCCCAATCATCTCTCTGGAAAGGATCTATACTGTTTTCCCCACACAATGAATGAACTCAATGATATTTTAGAAGTACCAATGACATAGTTCACTGCATTTTCTGAAAATCATGTACTGTTACAGCATCAGCTAAACCAACATTTTTCTCAATTGGTCACCTTATGTAATTCCACTTCCTTGCCCAATCCTGGCAACTTTAATATTTTCAAGCAACAGCTGAATTCCTACTTACTAAAAAAAAGAACAGAATCTCACTTTTGCTAATATTAATGTCTTGCTTCAAAACCTAAAGCAGCAATGTGTCATTTCCTCCCTCACTAGAATTCATCACTTTTAATTCTGATTTTTATTATGAAAAGTTTAAGGACAGTCTTTAGATCAAGGTGGAGGTCATGTGACCTGCTCTGCATTCTCCCGCTAAGAGTGGCCTGGGTCACTGGCTCACAGCACAGAAACAGACCCTTCAGTCCAACTCATCCGCTCTGACCAGACATCCCAATCTAACCTAGTCCCATTTGCCAGCATTTGGTCCATATCCCTCTAAACCATTCTTATTCATATATCCATCCAGATGGACTTCTAAATGTTGCAATTAAAAACTACTCCACCACTTCTGGCAGCTCATTCCATACATGCACCACCCTCTGCTTGAAGTTGTTGACCCTTTAGGTCCCTTTTAAATTTTTCCCTCCTCACCTTCAACCTATGCCCACTAGTTTTGGACTCCCCCACCCCAGGGAAAAACCTTAGCTATTCACCCTATCCATGCTCTGCATGATTTTTATAAACCTCTACAAGATCACCCCTTAGCCTCCGATGGTTCAGGGAAAATATCCCCTATTTGGCCTACCTATAGCTCATACCCTCCAGTCTCAGCAACACCCTTAAAGTCTTTTCTGCACCCCCAAAATTTAATAACATTTTTCCTACAGAATGATGACTGGAATTGAACACAGTATTCCAAGGGTGGCCTCAATGTCCTGTACAGCCACAACACAACATCCCAACTCCTATACTCAATGGTCTAGCCAATGAACACATGTGCCAAATGCCTTCTTCACCATCCCGTCCACTGCAAATCCACTTTCAGGGAACTACAAACCTGCAACCAGAGATCTTTGTTCAGCAACACTCCCCAGGACCTTACCACTACACGGATAAGTCCTGCCCTGGTTTGCCTTAGCAAAAGGTAACACCTCCCATTTATCAACATTAAACTCCTCAGAACATTGGCCTGTCTGATCAAAAGGTCCTGTTGTACTGTCATAACCTCCTTCACTTTCCACTACAGCACCTATTTTGGTGTCATCCACAAACTTACGAACCATACCTCCTATATTCACATCCAAATCATTCATAGAAGTGACAAAAAGCAGCAGACCCAGCAGCAATCCTGGTGACATTCCGCTGGCCACAGGCATCTAGTCCAAAAAGCAAATCTGTACTCTTTTAAACAAAAGGCAGAAACAGAAAAAGCCAAGAGCCCCCCAACACTGTCCCCATCAGACACTCCAGGGTAGGGACAGCACCAGATGAAACAGAGTAAAGCACAGGCTACTCATTTGAAACAGAAGGCAAGTTTTTTCAACTTTCTTAAACAAGAATGAAGTCCCTATCACTTGGGGGAAAACAAAATTAAATAAAACAAGAAGTGGCTCTCCCTTGACTCCATCCCCATCATCCACTCCTGGGGCAGGGACCACAAGGGGCCAAAATGTAGAATGAATCTTCCTTGACTCAAAAATAAAACCTGTTCTGACCCCATTGAACACTATCAGAACAGGGATAACAAGAGTTTCAAAATCCAGTGGAAAGTTCCTCTACTCCTTTTAACAAAAAATAAAACTCCCCTCACACCAAACCCATCAAGCACACCCGAGACAGGGGTCCAAAATCAATAAGAAAGAAAAACAGAAAAGCCATTTTCTGGGCACAAAACCAAGAACAAACACAAACTTAAAGTTGAACGGAAGCTTGCACTATATCAAAATATCAAACTGATGATGCCCTCCAGCCCTGACAGCACCCATTGGTTATGAAAAGAGTTAACATACTGGTAAGCACCACATGCTCCATGGACACCAGAGTGCAGATTTAACCACAAAAAAGAAAGTGGCAGACAGTCAAAACCAACAAGCCCTTCCTCAGCCCACTTCTCGAACCTGTTAATGGCCACCTTGTCCAGGCCCAGGAGCAAAGCCACAAGGCGGCTCCTAGACTTGTCCAGCCCTCCTGAACTGGAAGCCTGTAGATCAAAAGCATTAGGCTAAAGTGCAACCAAAATTTCAACAGCTGCCCCTTCCAAAAAAAAAAAAAAAAAAAAAAAAAAAAGGGTTTGCATTCAGACACCCTCAACAAAATGTGGAACACCATTTCCTCCAGGCCACAGAACGCGCACGGGGTCTGGCACCCAATAAATTTGAAAGAAAGTCTATGACAAGGAAGGAAAGAAAGGAGTGCCATGCATTGGTCAGGAATTGAATCCAGGCCTCCCACTCAGCAGGCAAGAATTCTACCACTGAACCACCAAGCAATTAACACAACCCTCTACCATTATCCTCTGTCTTTTACTTTCAAGCCAATTTTGTATCCAGTTGGCTAGCTCCCCTGGAACACGTGATCTAAACTTAGTAACTGGTCTACCATGCAGAAACTTTTCAAACACTTTGCTGAAGCCCATATAGACCATACCACTCTGCCTTCAATCTTCTGTCACCTCTTCAAAAATAAAAATTAACTCTATTTCCCATGCACAAACCCATGCCAACTTCCCCAAATCGGTCCTTGCCCTTCCAACTTCATGTTAATCCTGTCCCTCAGAATCCCCTCCAACAATTTATCACTGACTCAAGGCTCATCAGTCTATAGTTCCTGGGTTTTTCCTTACAGCCATTCTTAAATAATGGCACCATATTAGCCACTTTCTAATCTTCCAGCACCTCACCAGCGGCTGTCAATGATGCAAATATCTCAGCAAGGGGTCCAGCAATTTATTCCCTAGCTTCTCACAAAGTTCTGGGGAACACCTGATCATGTCCCAGGGACTTATTTATCTTTATACATTAAGACCTCCAGCACCTCTTATTCTATAAGATGAACTCTTTTCAAGACATCACTATTTCCCCAAGTACTTTAACTTCCATGTCCTTCTCCACAGTAAATACTGACAAAGTATTTGTTTAGTATCTCACCCATCTCCTGTGGTTCCACACAAACAGCCACATCAATCCTTAAAAGGGGCCCTAGCTCCCTAGTTACTCTTTTGCCTTTAATATAGCTAAAGAATCTCTCTGCATTCTTCTTTACTCTATTTGCCAACACACTCTCTTGTCCCCTTTTTGGCCTCCTGATTTCCCTCTTAAGTATACTCCTACCGGCCTCATACTTTTCTAGGGATTCACTCAATCCCAGCTGTCTATACCTCCTCTTTTCTTTCTTGACCAAAAGTCTCAATTTCTCTAGTCATCCAACATTCCCTACATCTACCAGCCTTGTCCTTCACACCAACAGGAACATACTGCCCCTGAATTCTCTACCTCATTTTCAAAGGCCTCCCACTTCCCAACTGTCCCTTTACCTGCAAATAGCCTCCAAAATCGACTTTTTGAAAGTTTCTGTCTAATACCATCAACATTGATCTTACTCCAATTTAGAACTTTAACTTTTTGATCTATTCTATCCTTTTCCATTATTATTTTAAAACTAATAGAATTATGGACACTTGCCCCAAAGTGCTCAACAACTGACACCTCAATAGCTTGCCCTGCCTTATTTCCCAACAGAAGTATTGCTCTTTCCCTAGTAGGTAAATCCACCCATTGAATAAGAATGTTTTCTTGTACACTTAAATTCCTCCCATCCAAGCCCTTAACACTATGGCAGTCCCAGTGTACGTTTGGAAAGTTAAAATCTCTCACCCTATCATTCTTGGAGATATTAGAGGTCTCCTTATACAATTGCTTCCCAATCTCCCGCTAACTGCGGGGCGGGGGGGCCGCAATACAATCCCAATAAGGTGATCTCAGGTTCAGGTTGTGAAAGGAAGCGAGAGA